AGAAGATAAAGAAAATATTGCATTTGTGACTGAGCAGGGGTTGTATTGTTACAAGGTTATGCCGTTCGGCCTCAAGAATGCCCCTGCAACATTTCAGCGACTTGTCAATACGGTCTTTAGAGATCAGTTGGACCGGAATATGGAGGCGTACATTGATGATATGATTGTCAAGTCAAAAGAGTCGGCCGACCATTTGAAGGATCTACGAGAAAATTTTACCAAACTCAGCAACATAAGATGATGCTAAACCCAAAGAAATGTGTCTTTGGTGTTGAATCCCGGTAAATTTCTCGGATTTTTTATTGATCAATGTGGAATTGAGGCTAACCCTGAAAAAATTCAAGCTGTTTTGGACATGAAGTCTCCAAGAACAATTAAGGAAGTTCAAAGACTGACCGGCTGTTTAGCAGCACTCGGTCGATTTCTGTCAAGATCAGGGGACATATACCGATACTTTTTTCAAACCATAAAAAAGAAAGTCATGTTTGAGTGGACGGAAGAAGCAGAGGAAGCATTCGTAGAATTAAAAAGTCATCTGCATACTTTGCCTCGGCTCGTCAGTCCACTCAAGAATGAGAAGTTGTACATCTATCTCGCTATCTCATAACATTCCTTAAGTGCATTCCTGCTTGTTGAAAGGGACGACCACCAGATCCCAATCTACTTTATCAGTCATGTGCTACACAACGCCGAGCTTAGATATCCCCCTGTTGAAAGTTTGGTTTAGCGTTGTACATGGCATCTAAAAAGCTACGGCCGTATTTCCTGGCACATTCAATTGTGGTTTACACTGATCAACCACTCAAGAAGTCGTTTGCAACTTTAGAAGTTAGTGGTCGCATGCTTAAATGGGCTTTAGAACTAAGAGGCTTCGACATCACGTTTGAGCCCAGAAAAGCTATAAAGAGGCAGGTCTTCGCTGATTTTTTAGCTGAGATGACACGGTCAGAATCACAGCCGGCCGGAGAACAGATATGGAAGGTATATGTAGATGGTAGTGCAACAGCGACCGGATGTGGTGCTGGAATTATTTGTCAATCTCCTGAGGGGGATAAGTTTGAGTATAAGATTTGATTTTAATTTCAAGCCTCTAACAACGAGGCCGAGTATGAAGCCCTCTTAGCTGGACTTAGAATGTGTAAGGTTGCAGGGGCAACAAAGGTGGATGTGAGCTCGGACTCCTAGCTGATATTTGGCCAGGTGAATGGTGACTTTGAAGCAAGGGAAGCGGGCCATGATTAAATATTTGAAGATAGTTAAAGAAGAGACCAAGAGCCTATAACACTTTTCTCTGCAACAAGTCCCCTGTTCGTCTAATCATCAGGCGGACGCCCTCTCCAAATTAGCATCCTCGGCATCATGTGATACTCCCAGATCAGTGTTTTGGAAAGTAAAGAAAAAGAGGAGTATTGATGCCGAGCCAGTGCAAATCATTGATAGAAGCTCAACTTGGATGGACGGAATTATCTTCTACCTAAGGGATGGATTGCTCCCGATTCCAAGGAGAGCTGGCTGATGAAAAAGAAGGCGGCCTGATTCGAAATGAAGCATGGGGAGTTGTTTAAGAAAGCCTTTGTAAAGCCTTACCTGAAGTGTATTACCCCTAAGAGGGGACATGAAGTGCTGGATGACCTCCACCAGAGAGACATTGCGGCTCCCAGATTGGAGGACGAGCCTTGGCTGAAAAGGCCACTCACCTAGGTTACTATTGGCTGAGTTTGAAATCGGACGCCATGAAAATGGTGAAGAAATGTGACAAATGCCAAAGGTTCGCAACCTTAATCCATCGCCCAACTAACAGTTTGACGACCATAAGTAGTCTTCTCCCTTTTGCAAAATGGGGTATGGACATCTTGGGTCCGTATACGCCAGCGTCAGGCCAAAGGCGATATGTGTTTGTAGCAGTAGACTACTTCACGAAATGGGTTGAGGCCGAGACCGTCTAAGGCATTAAGTGGACGGATGTGTCAGCTTTTGATGTGTCTAATTTATATAGTATTTTACCCCCATCCCTTGGTCATAATTAGTAGTGTTTTTGGCTCTTTAGAGCCACTTTTATTACTAATTGGTGTTTTCTAGTGTTTCCGTAGTTTGGTTGAGTTTTGTAGGAAATTGCACTTTTAGAGCATTTTTTCAGGTTTTCATTTAGCAACTACGGACATTAGAGGAGCACGACCGTTTTTGAAGCCCAAGGCCGGTTAGAGTCATCAAGCCGGTGATTAAGGGCTCGACTTGTGGAATACGAGCGTTAGACCGAGTATTCAAGACCCTAGGTGGATATCCGGATTGGGCTAAGAAGAAAGCCCAATCGAAGTTCCAATTCTCAAGGAGAAGCCGGGCCCGATCGGGTGAGCATTGGCTCGATCGGGCGCGGTTGTTCAGAAGGGTGTGCGAAGAAAAAGGCGGGCCCGATCGGGCGACCCTTCGCACGATCGTGCGCGTGTTTCTGGGGAGACTTCTTTGCCGATTTCTTAGTTTCTAATTAGGAGTAATTTGAGTTTTGTTGTTTAAGTACGATTTTAATGCTTTTGCTTAGTACCTTTTTTCTTAGACTTCCTCTCTCTACTTAGATTATTTTCTCTTTCTAGATTTCTCTCAACTTTACTCTTGTTCTTGACTCAACTTTGTAGTTCCATCGATTTTGGTAACGATTTCTTCTTTATTAATTTTAGCAATTTTATACTTTCATTCCTTTATGACTTGCTTAATTGCTTTGTTTAGTTTATGATTAATTATGTCTGAGTAATTTCCCTTCTAGGGTTTGTGGGGATCCAATAAATAATATGAAGGGGTAATTTATGATTATTGATTGTCAATGCTTAATTAATTTCCTATTGATTGATTTAATACTATGTAATTAGATTAGGCCTGGTTTAATTGTATGAGTTTAGCAATATTGATTCGAGATTTGAGAGATGAGAATTGATGTTTAGGCTTAGTTTTAATAGGCGGACTAATTTATAAATGGTTAAGTCGAGATTCGAGAGATGAGATTTAATACCGATAAATTAACTCTGTGATTGTAATACGTAGCAAAAGCCTTTTATGATCTGATTAATTGATGCATTGATGATTGATTATTATGTTTTACCCTGGAATAATGTTTATTGGTGAACCTATGCCCTAGGCTTTTATTTCATTGATTTCCCTCATACTTTTATTCCTTCCCACTTTTACTCTTAGTAGTTTAATTCCCTTTCATAATAACAATTTGGTTACTTGATAATTTAGATTATTTTGATTAATTAGGAATAAATTAACTCGTTTCCCTGTGGTTCGACCCTTCTTCCCTATCTACAAAGTTAGTGGATTTAGGTATTATTTTTGATTGGGTGATTACGACTTTAGCCCGTCAGCTTTCATATGAAAGAACATAATTACTCGCTTTGGAGTACCTCAGTCAATGGTGTTCGACAATGCGTCTCAGTTTGAAACTCCTTAGCTCAAGGAATGGTTGGCAGACCAGGGCATAGCTCATTACTTTGCCTCAGTCGACCGACCATAAGCCAACGGCCAAGTAGAGGCCTATAACAAGTTGATCTCCAATGTTATCAAGCGCAAGCTTGAAAAAGCAGGCGGCCTATGGGCTGATGAGCTGGTTAATGTATTATGGTCCATACGAACAACAGCAAAGAGGTCCACAGGAGAGACCTCATTCTTTTTAGTCTATGGTGTCGAGGCAGTTCATCCAATTGAGATGTACGAGCCTATCCTCAGAGTGATGTTATATGATGAAGCGGCTAATTGGGAGGCCATGAAGACCGCCCTGGATTTTCTTCCAAAGGTCAGGAGCAATGCGGCGCTCAGGCACGCAATTTATCGCTTAAGGATGACAAGGGCATATAATTGCCGAGTGTCAAAGCGCCCGCTAAAGATAGGAAATCTAGTACTGAGAAAAATGGAGGTTGTAGGCCGAGCAAATGAGGATGGCAAGTTGACCCCAAACTGGGAAGGGCCGTATCGAATCAGTGAAGAAGTTCGAGATGGTACATACCGTCTTGAAGCCTTAAATGGCCATCCAATTTCGCGTACATGGAACACGGACAATCTCAAAAAAAATTATGTTTATAAGTCTTTTATACTTAGCCAAAAAGCTGCATATATAGCTAGGTCTCAATGACCGAGCCCTGTAATTAAAGCCTTACATCCCCAACAATGTAATCTTGACAAATTAATGAAAGTCAGGCATTGTTATCTTATTGAGTTATTCGTTTTTGCTTGCGTACGTCTTTGTTTTTTGAATTAAAGGCCGAGTGAAAAAAACCATAACCATGTTACTTGCAACATAGCAACACGACTTATAAAAGCTGAACAAAATTATTTAAGACATAGCAAAACGGTCACAAAGGACCGCAAAAAAAAAAAAAAAAAATAATAATAAAATAAAAAATAAATAAAAAATAAAATAAATAAAAAATAAAATAAATAAAAAATAAAAAATAAAATTGAAAAGCACAGGTAAACGTCCGCTTCCCATTGGGACGGACAGTAAAAGGCATAAGGTATCCCAAATCCGTCAAGGACATTCACCTCCTTAAATGGGGGCAAGGGCATACCTAGGCATAATAGCCCAGCCAAACTTAGAAATTTTAAAGTTGAGATATTACTTGAAATTTCTTGAGTATATCCGAGCGATAGATTCAACAAACGACTCACATAAGGCCCATAATACGGCCGCAATAGCTGTTGGTTCGGCGTTGCACCTAGTCCAAGGGCAACTATTACTATGATTTGATTAACTTGCTAGTAGTTATACCCTTTAAGGCATAAAAACTACCAAGTCAATCAAACCATTCGGAGTATGGACTAGGCGAACGCCGAATAAAAGGGCATACCCCCCCCCCCATCGTACAAAAGCATAAAAGCGTAAAAACGTAAAATGCGCAAAAATTTGCTAAGTATAGAATAGATAAAATGGAAAACCGCTCAGAGGGCGGCAAAAATTACATAAATAAAACCGCTCAGAAGGCGCCAAAATATCTTACAAAGCCACTTTGGCTCTATTTAGCCGAATCTTTGTCCTGGACAGGCTCCTCGGAGACAAGAGCGGACGCACCATCAACAGGCTCTTCCTTGTTTTCCTCTTCGCCCTCGGCTTCGTCAGCCTCTTCCTCTTCTTCCTCATCGTCCGAGGTGGCCGGTGTAACGACCAGTTCGGGAGAAGGCTGATTGGCCTTCTTAGCCTCTTCCCCGAGGCAGACGAAGTTAAAACGCTTGGTGAATCGCTCCTGATAGTAGGCGGCTTCCCCCTCATCCACCATTAGCTCGTACGCCTCGAAGAAGTGGCTCTTCAACCTCTCCTCGGTGTTGTGCTCAATTCGGACGACCTCCTCTGCACTAGGTGGCCGAGGTGCTTTTAGCTGCTCTTCTAAGTCCGCAATGGACTTCTTTAAAGTCTCCACCTCGGCCTGGAGAGAGTCCACCTCATCCAAGGCCTTCTTGAGATTCTTTTGTGCAAGGGCCACGTCTCCCTTCAGCTTTTCGAAGGCCTCGAACCCCTCCTTCCAGCGCTGGCCGTTCTGGACAGACGCATCTCTCTCCTGCCTTATTGTCTCCCTGGCCAAAGTCTCTTGTTCAAGAGCCTTGCCTATCTTGACTAGATCCTCAGCTTGCCGCTCAGCCTTGTTGGATAGCGTATTAATCTGAGTTTCGAAATAGGTGCGCTGGAGAGCGGTCGTCCCAGTAACTAGGGGTGTTAAAAAAACCCGACCCGATTGTCCCGACCCGATTTCCCGATGACCCGGTAAATACCCGATGGGAAATTTGGGGGAAAAAACTGTTTTTCCGGGACGGGTACCCGACCCGGGAAAATTGCTTGTTATCTGGGTCGGGACATGGGCCGCATTTTTAAATTCGCGGGTACCCGATTACCCGATATCTTAAATAAAAAAAATAAAAAAAAAACCCTCCCTCAAATAAGCCCATCCCATTTATACTTTAGACATTCAGAACACCCTAGTTAGGTTTTCACTCTCAAACGCCTCTCTTCTCTTCCTGGCCCTCTCTCTCTTACTCTTCTCTTCCTGCCTTTCTCTCTCTCTTCTTGCATCTCTTTCATTCCCTACCTCCTTCCTTCCCTTTGACAAAATATGAACAATCATCAGAATTCAAGCGAAGATTTGTAATTTAGCAGAGCACCATAGCGTAATTCATCAGAATTCAAGTGCTGAATGGAGATGTATAATTGTCGACGAGAAGATCTTGAGGAGCTCTGCTGTAATTCATTACCATCTGAACAAAAAGGATAACTCATTACCCTCGTGAACTTAAGCGTCGAACTGTAATTCAGCATAGCACCGTATGCGTCGTCGTCGGCTTCTATTTCTAATTCTTTTTCTCCTCTTTATTTTCCAATTTCATTAAGTTTTGTTAACCCCTTTTATTTGTTTATTTTTCACATCAAAGATTCAATTCTTAAACTATTAATTCCATGGATATTTTTTCTACATTTTCCCCAAAAATTATAAATTTTATTTTATTTTTTTGCATTGAGTTTTTGTTATTTTTGATGATGGAATACTTGACTGCTTGTGAATTGGGAAATCAATTATTATAAGTTGTGTTATCTAACAAAAAAATTAAACTACAACAAGTATAAATACCAAAAATTAATACAAGTAAGTATAATGTTATTTTTTTTTAAAAAAAAAGAAAGAAATTCGGGTACCCGAGATATTCGGGTCGGGTAATGGGACGAATTCACAACTACCCGAAACTCCGGGTACCCGGATTTGAACACCCCTACCAGTAACGACGTCTTGGGCCTTCTGGACTTTATCCCAAGCCCTTTTCAGCTTCTCATTCTCTTTCTCCTTCAATTCAAGGAAGGCGGTCAACCGCAGGAAGGAAAAGCTGCGTACAAGATAAAGTGAGTTAACAAAATAATAAATTATTCTAAGTATGAATGAGTTGCGAAATGCTACCTCAGCACTACAATTAATCATAGGGCCGAGGAAGCCCTTATGAATTCCCCGCAACTTGTCTCGCTGCTCAGCGGGGACGGCCCTGCCATTGCTTCCCTCATGGCCTTCCTGTCCGCACCAGTGAGAGATTGACCGGACAGCTTCATGTTGAACTCCTCCGTAATATCTGCACACGAACACAAAAGAGTTTTGTGTGAGCAATAAGACTTAAATTTAAAACGAGAGTGTACAACGTTGTCTAAACTAACCGTCCGAGAAGCTCGGAGGAGAGAATGTATTGAAAGTAAATGGAGGAGGCGGCATAGGTTAGTCGCCCTCCTCACCTGTGCTGCCGGGTTGATTATCAGCCGACTGAGAGGCCTCGAGCCAATCAGATTTTTGGACTCTCTCGTCAGGCGGAGTCGAGATGGGTCCGATCGATTTTTCCGGGGTTGACTTACCCCCATCGCCCGTTTTCACGGACTCATCATGGACCGGCTTGGCGGCCAGATCCACGAACTTGGAGACCCCGCTATCACCCAGCCGGAGTTGCTCTCCTTTAGATTGCTTAGAAGCAGTCCGCGACTTAGTCTTCGCCACCGATGCGGAAGGGGTCTTGGATGCGACCGTCTTCCTTTGTTTGGACGTCTTCCCGTCCTTCCCATCATTCGCAGCCGAGGATGGCTGCTTTCGCTTAGCTCTGGGGGGGTAGGAGTGGCCAGCTGAAAAAAGCAAGTAAAAGTTGAAGAAATAAAAATAAATAAAACTTTGCCAACGTCCGTGTAGATACAGTTGGGATCCTGATCCCAACATACCAACTCGGACGAAGAACCGTTCGTGTGAGAAAAAAGGAAGTTTGGGAAAGAAATAGGACAGCGTCCGTGTAGACTCAGTTAGGAGCTTCCTCCCAACCTAACAACACGGACGAAAGACCTCGGAAGAAATTTATACCTCCTTGGTTTGCTCGTACATCTTCTGACGAGCCTTGTATCTGGCAAGTCGATCTCCGACATGTCAATTTCCCCCTTTTGCTCTTGATTCAGCATTGCGTACGCCTCCGCTGCAGAATAATAGAAGAAAAAGAGTTTTTCAAAAGAAGAAACAATGTGCGAAAAAGAAAACCTAAGTATCCCACCTTGGGGCAAATTCTTGTACAGGCCGTAGGCTGACATGAATGTTGGGTCCCATCTTGCCATCCTTCTCTGCCCTATTGACTCCAAAGTATTCAAGCTAGTGCTATTGGCTGGGATGGACGGGTGGCTTGTACGGCTTGTGGTCCCCACGTCCAAGCTGGATCGTCTTGGAATTGAATCGGTTCATCCTCATGTTGAACTCCACATCCTTAGTCTTGATGCGGTAGAAACGATTCTTCCAGTATTGCCATTTAGAGACGCGGTTAACCACCACCATATAATCCTTGACGGTGCTGAGGATGAACCAACCGTCTGTGTGTTTCTCCAGCTTGGTCATGGAGTGCTTAAAGCCTTTGCGGATGCACGTCACCAAGTACCCGAACACATTCAGCCATCTATTTGGAATCAGCTAGAAAAGAGCTATATTATATTCGTCCAGAAAAGTGCAGACGAAAGGGTGAAGGGGGAAGCGGAGTCCAACGTCGAAGGCGGCCCTATAGACGCAGAAGGCTTTGCGGCGTGGCCGCTCATCCTCCCATGCTGCCACGGAGTGAGATTTTCGCGGCGCCACCAACTCAAAACCCTCTCCCAGATGGAGGAACGCCTTATTTGAGGAGCCCAAGGTCGTGCTACCCACTGTACAGGCGTACGGGTCCTTGAGATTGTCTATATTGGCGACCTCACCTTTAGCCGCCGCCTCTCACTCGGCCGTCTCACCTTCGGCTTCGTCCTCATCCTCTAACTCTTCGTCCTCTTGGCGAGGGGCGGTCCCAAATTCGGAGGACAGCACTCTGTCCAAGTCTGTTGCCTCGGCCGAGCTGCGGCTCCTTAAGACATGGCCGCTCCCAGCCGAAAGAGGCTCTTCAGGAGCTAAGGGTCCCTTACCCTTATATTTAGCAGTGGCCGCCCTAGTTTCCAAAGAAGGGCCACTGCGAGGGGCAGGTCGGACGGTTCGTTGAAAGAAACTCCAACTCTTGGTCTGTCCGACCTGCTATGTTGGAGATGGGATGGTGAAGGAGCTGAAACGGACGGACCAGCAGTGGCCGCCCGAGAAAGGGAAGGAGGCCTCTCACGAGATAGCAAATCTAGGTTCAGGGGTTGGCCCGGACACCCCAACTGCAGAAGAGATGCCCTGTGCACATTGACGTTCCTCAAAAGATGAAGTCACTTCCACGACCGAGCAATGAGTGCCTGTGGAAGCGGTCGTAGGATTAGTAGATGGAGTTTCTAAGTCAGTGTTATTTGGGTCATAAGGAGTCCTAGGGTTGACCAGACTACCGTCTGGATTCCTGGCCGCATGAAGATCATGCGTTTGCATTGTTCTTGCCATGTCCGAATGCAGGGACAGAGAAGAATAGGTGAAGGTAAGCTGGTACGCACTAGAAATGGACCCACTCCATGAAGGACACAACTCGTCTTCGTCCACTCTAGACTCCTCAATCGCAGGTGAACGGCCGGCCTCATGAGGAGAAACGGACGAAGCTGAGTGCTAAGCCAGATTTAAAAAATGAAAAGCAAGAAGAAAAATAATGCAAGTAAAGAAGGGGAAAAAAAATAAAGGCGACCTACCTCTGTATGTGTAGAAAACTTGAGAAGTTCTTGAGAAGTCTTAAAGGTTGACCGGAAAACTCAAAAATATGCCCGGAAAACTCAAACACACGGCGGAGCTCTCGAAGATTAAAAAAAAAAAACACTTCCTCTTTCTAAAAAGCTCTGATATCTCTCTAAAAATTGCAAAGTTCCAAAATGTGAAAATGAGGTCAAACCCCCTGTATATATAGGCAAAATTTATGGGGGCATATTAGTAAATTCTTTTTACCCGCCTAAAGAATTTAAACGGTTATAATTTGAAACTTTAACCTAGCTTTCAAAGGGGTGAAAGGACAGCGCCGTTAGGATGAACGGAAAAAGAGACGGCCGAATAACGGCGCGTCCAAAAGGACGATCAAAATAAACAGAGCTAAGACCTCCATCTCAATAACTAGACGCCCGCTCTCTCCCCCGAAAATTTAGAAAGACAGTATGTCAGCCCAAGACGACCAACTTGAAATGGGGCGGACAGATCTATGCACCTCAGCAACCTGCCAATCTCCGTACACCCGTACGCCTTGAGGCAAGTGAAAGTTCAGAGGAGGCGACCGTTATCGTACGAGCCACCCCCTCTAAGGGGCAAATGTTTAGGGTAAAAAATACCCCCCATGTACGTGGACCAATCCCGTAGTGACAAGTGGCCCAATTGAAGGGTGACACGTGTCACTACGGGAAGGTGACGCGTGTCTAAGGCACAAAAGAGCCCTTGAAATCAGCATTAAAAAGGCCTTCTTACATCATGGCCCAAATCCCGAGAGATATTCATGAAAGCCGCAAAACGGCGCCCCCGTACCACACGTGGCATCTTCTGATTGCGCAGCCAATCATGTCATGGAAAATTAGGGTATAAACCCTAAAGGGGCACATGCTCCCATCCCTATAAATACCCCAATCTTTTATGATGGGAGAGGTGGATTACGACATTACAAGCAAGAGCATTAAATAGCTCCAACCTCTCTCTGCTTTCTCTCTCTAACCTTTTCCGTTCAGATCTCTAACTTGATCGTCGGAGGCGAATATTCCGGTAAAGGAATATTCGTTTATTTTGCAGGTGTCCGAGTCTCATTGCCTGGAGAGCGCGACCAGTATCCGAGGAAATCCAAAAAATACCCGAAACAAGGTGTGCTGACCAAAATCATCTAAAGCAAACTTGTATGAAAATCAAAACAATCATGGGCAAAACAGTGGCCAACAATTCAACTACAAAGAAAGAACTATATGACCATTGAAAGATTTTTTTTTTTTTCATCCAGCCAAATATACAAATGAATAACCAATATTGGGATTTTAAACCTCAAAATTAATTCCTGAAATTTCTCATGAGCTAACCACTTCAAGATGACCAATTTGCCATTTTTGCAGCACCCCAAAAGTAACAAGGTTCAAAGGTAAATCCCCAGGCTATCATATGATACATTTATTTACTAGGAAAAAAAAAAAAAAAAAAAAAAAGGAAGAACATGGTTATATTGGTCAGGTATTAGATTTATTTTGTTTGATAATAGATTATATTGATCAGGTATTAGATTCTTTTTGTTTGATAATAGGTGATATTAGTCAAGTATTAGATATCTATTGTTTGATAATATTCTGAAATATATGCGGTTCTGTACTGAAGGCATGGCGGGTCCAGATCCTGAAAAGCTAATGGCCAATATAATTAATACAAAAATGCTTAATTATTTTACGAAAAGATAGGCTAAACTCACCGTCACTAGGAGCGACGCTCACCGGAGCAAGCTGAGTGGAAATATAAGTTAAACGACTGTTTATCATAAATTAGAGTATCACAAAGCAAAGATAATGAAATGAAGCCATTGTTTTTCGAGAGGAAGAGAAGAGACCAATTGAGCAATTAAATTGGATATATAATATACTAACACTATATAATACTCCGTACTTGTATCAGATGAGAAAGAGCAGACGGCATTTGACTTGTAACGAGCAGCCGCTAGTGTTTATATAAAAACTTGAGAAGTATGAAGGTGCTGCGAGTACCTTACTTGGGTGGGAGAGGGTCACCAGCGCCAGGATGAGAGGGTCGCCGGCCGCCGATAGGGGACTAGGCAAGTAGGCAGTGGCAGTGGGTGGGGGATGAATGTGTGCATTATAAACCGGACTCACGTGAGTCTATTCTACGCAAAATCTTCTCATCATAAATACATTGAAAGAATAAGGACAATGGAGCCAATTCACTATTCACGATAACAGGAACACATTGTCTCTTTTAAAGGGTTGATGATAATAAGCTTAATATGCTTTTTAGAGAGAGGGAGAAAGATTATTCAACTACCTTTTCTTATGGTGAGTCTAGGGGTATTTATATTGTATCATAACCCTATCGTGCCTCGGGTGAGCCTGGGCCGACTTATCTTGCTTTTGCCCAAAGCCTTTGACCCGAGTGTGAGCCCGGAGATCTGGCTGGGATGAGAGTGCACCCCTTGGGCAGCGCTGGGAGAATAGGGCAGCAGCAGGAGCTACCCTATACACCACTATTCACAAGGAAAATTTTACAGCAATTTTGGTGCCTTCGACTTTTATATAGGTTATAGATGTCTATGATGTTCTTTTTTTTTTGCCCGTGTTTTTTTAACCATATGCGTAATGTGCCAATAAATTTTCATGGGTAAAGAGGTGATTTTCGTTGTAGTAGATAGACCGAGCAATTATGCTCATCTTATTCCTCGCTCATCATTTTCCAGCTCTACAGGTTACTCAAGCTTATTTGGACAACATTTTCACGTTACATGGGTGGCCTAGGGCATTGTTAGTGAGAAAGAATGCTATTTTTTTTAAGCTAATGGATAGGGTTGTTCTCCTTATATGGTACAGAATTTTCTGGAAAGGGTTGTTCTCCTTGCATGATAAAGAATTTTTGCTATCTTCAGCTTACCATCCTAATGGTTAGACAAAAGTGGTGAACAGGTGTCTGGAAACTTATTTGAGATGCATGTGTGGAAAAAGGCGTCAAGATTGGTGCTTATGGATGCCTACAGCTGAATGGTGGTACAACACTCATTTCCACACAATTGAGACCATATGAAGTGTTCTATAATCAGCCACCAACTGTATACTTGCCTTATTTAGCCGGAGAATCTAAGAATGAAGCTGTTGATAGAAGCATTCAGAGAAGAGAAGGCTTGATCAAACTCAAGCTAGAATGTAGAATGAAGATGCAGGCAGATAAGCATAGGTCAGAGAGAAGTTTCAACATTGGAGATTGGATACTTCTAAAATTACAACCATTTAGGCAGAATTCCATTCAAAACAGACCTAATCAAAAGTTAGCTCAGAGATATTTTGGACCTTTCTAAGTTGAGGCTTTAATTGGAAAAGTTGCTTACAAATTGAAGGTGCCTGATACATAATGTTTTCCATGTATCACAACTTAAGAAGTACCATGGTACCCTTCCTATAGCTGCTCATATTTCTATTGGGTTACATGGACAGAATGTAAATGTGGTGATCAACCAGCTGCTATCGAAGGAAGAATGATTAAGTTCCAGATTGCTGCTCAAGTTCAATATTTAGTTCAATGAAAGATGCCCTGACCATGAAGCCACCTGGGAGAATGCAGAAGATTTTGAACTAAATTTCCCAATTTCCCGCCAATTTCAAAGACTTAAAAAAAGTCTTTTTCATGGGGGAAGTATGATAGGAGAGTTCAGTTTGTAAAATCAGTTGGTCAGTTGTGATATTATTACGGTTGTTAGAAAGCTATAACAGAATTGTAATTAGTTAGATTACTTCCTGAGTTCCTGATAATCAACTATAATTAAGCTAGCCTGTATATTGTATTGATCATCCAATCATTAATACAATCTTCTTTCTCTCTCTCTCTCTCTCTTATCCTTCTCTCTATCTTATCATTCTCTCTCCTCCCTTCTCTGTTTTCTGATGTACATTGTATTATTTTCAAATTCAATTCAGAGATTGAATATGGAGATTAAACAAAGCTAAGATCAATACTAAAAATGAAAAGAAAAAGAACAGCTATAAAAAGCAATTATTTTCTTATACTTGCAAATAGTTATGACAAATAATAGAAAAATCACAAGTAAATCCACATAACACACTTGATCAAAGTCATAATTTCATAAGCTTTTTTTTCTATAAAAATTGATATTGCAATACTAATGTTTCACTTGCGCACTCCCTTTTTAGTGGAAAGTCTTTTTTGATTCTATGGGTTGGAAAGAGAAAGTTGTGTGAAGACATTGGTATTAATGTATAGTATAATGTTAAAAAGTGAGCCTTTCATTTACCATAAAAGGAATAAAGAAAAAATAGGAAGATAAAAAAATAAAAAATAAAACTAAATGTCAAGTAATAAGACGAAAAAAAAATTTGAAAAATAAACGGAAGGAGTATTAAAACATTACCTCAGCTTCATTGAGCCTGATCATAGCCATGCAAACCCCGAGTGCCTTATCCATAAATTTGCATCACATAACATGTTGATGCAATTGAAGTGGAACACCACCTCATTGATATCCCTGTAGCAACATGACATCCATGATAAATAGTTACACACCAAGATATGGGAAATATCTTCTTTTTTTTTTGAGAGAACATCAAAAATTACAAGCCATCAACAAAACTACCAAGCAACACACATGTAGTCATATAGCCAAAATTTAAAAAATACAAAAACTGCACCTGAATAAAGATAAATCTTATCTACAAAATCATAAAAAAGTTGAGAAAAAATCAGCAGCTGATGGTTTAGGTTGTCATGGATACCAATCATCAAATAATTGACAAAAATATAAGCAGTAGAAAAACGCTAAACATTATACCTAGGTTTCAATCATGTAAGAAAGTGACAGGTTGCCGAAGACTCCAATTAGTCAATCTCATGAAATCATGTCAGAGAGAAGACCTGGACATCTACAGGAGGTACTCATGCTTCATGAAAAGGTTCAAAGTGCACAAAAAAGACAGAGCCAATCTAGAGCTCCTTTGATGTCCAGATCTTCCATTGGATCATAACATTCGTTGAATCTCATACCTAAAATCAAATTGAAACTCAAAAAACCAATCACAAATTATGTCAAAATCGAGAAAAATAGAGGAGAAAAAGAAAATACCATAACATATTTGCCGAGGCATTGGTCAACAGAGCTCTTGTGCATAGCAGCCCAGACGTATTTCTTAGGAGGAGCCTTCAACAATGAAGATGATCTTGATGTTATCACCATTTTTGGGGTTTTGCTATGAGAGACTGGGAAGAAGAAAAGACGGGATAAATCTAGGTGTATATGTCTTTAAGATTAAGAGAGAGAATTAAAAGATGAGCAACAAACATATATGGATCATGTGAAGCTGCTGCTGTTCAAAAGGACAGTTATTGACTTCAAACTTTTTAAAGGTTACGGATTTACAAACAATATGACAGTAGCTGATGCAAAACAGCATACAACACAATTAGATACAAAGGAAATACATACAGAAATACTCTGCAACCACAAAAATAGGAACCAGGCAGGATCTACTGTCCTCCAAACATATTTATACTCTCTAGCTTAGCAACCCTTACTAAAGTGGGCTTTCAAATCAGACCCCTTGAGGCAATTCTTGCCTTTAAACAACTGATTCCTTACTGTGTTCAATAATACGGGAAAAATGAAACCCATATTGTACATGTTTAGCTAAAAACATCTGTGCACGGTAGCACCTCTTGAGACGAATGAGGTTGAAATCGGCTGATCCTTGATCTGTGACAAAAGAACAGATACTTGCTCAGTTGCCAAATCTAAGCGTTCCTTTGACTTGGACGACTCTGAAACCAAGGTAGATACCATGCTCTGCAACCGTTTAACTTTTTCTCCATGGTCAGTAAGGGTGCTCTGGGGCTTCAAGGCAGATGAATTAAATCGTCGCCATCTCTGAGGAAGATATCTTTCAGGAATCTGAAAGCAATTTCCAGTCGAAAGAACTCGGAGGGCATGCCGACATAGGATACCTGAGAATTCAAACTGATCACAGCTACAACTAATGATACCTAGTTGTAGGTCCCAGTACACTTTCCGGCCACCTTGGAGTTTAGTGTGGTGTCGCACAAGAAAACCATCTTCCATCTGGAAAGAAGCATAGTGGGCAGCCAGAACAAGTTGCTCCTGAAGTTTGATGAATGCAAAGGGTGTGAGGACTGAGGCAGCATGGGCTTCCATTGGTGCTCCAGTTTTCAGGTTAATATTTTGTAAATTCTGTTGCATTGTTCGTTGCTCACCGGCCTGATCTTTAAAATCAACAGCTACAGCAACCTGTTAAGAAAAGCCAAAGATACTTATTTCTACTTTAAGCAATCACAAACAGATCTCCGGGAAAATTGACAGCAATGCAGATGAAAGGGACACATCTAAGAAAATTAGCACTTGTAAAAGACACTTAGCCACAATGATAACCCTACTAAGTTTTTCTAAGAACTACACACTCAATCTGTATTCCTAATCCAATATTTGATAGCTGGCAACTAAACAAAACACATAAACCCTAATACTAGCACGAATGCAAAAGGGTAGAATCAAAAAATGGTTACTTGATCTAGTGGCAAGAACTTGTCCAAATAATGAATAGATGTTCCATTAAAGCTTTAGGATCTTCGCTAGTATCGCCAGTCTAGATAGATCAAGTAGAGCTGCTCATAAAGATGAAACAACTAGCTTGCTTTTCAGTGAATCATGACAATAGATAACTTTTGGTGTGAAGTACAGGTGTCACTCAAAGATGTACTTTTGCAAGACATACAAATGTATTTACAAATAGATGGATTACCAGCTGAAAAGAATCTAAAACATATCTGGAACTAAAACAGAATGTGAAAATTCAGCTCAGGATGCCTTGTTGTAGACACCTAATTGTGTCTCCCATAATAACTGATGATTTAACAATCTTCTAGTAAAAGTTATGGAATTTAGATCAAATAAAGCATTGATTTCATTATTGTTTTATAACAATGAAATCCTGACACCTGAAAGCTTCATGTAGATCTTTCCCATTCTCATACTTATCATTCATCATTAAAACAAATTTTAACTGTAATTAAGTATGAATAAAGATATGAGCCATTAAAGTTCATCTATTTTCCTTTATTTTAGTGCCAGCCAAATATAAATGAGAACAATAAATAAAAATTAAAAAAAAAAAAAAAGTTTTCTTAGAGTTTCATAATCAGTCACTCTTTTTCTTCTATTTCCACAACCAAAACATCTTCCACACCTTCCAAACCTCAATTGGCCCAAAGATAGACACCACACCCTACCTCATCACCCTCCCCTCTCCATCATCCAACCAAACCTACAGAGATCATAAAATCCCAAATAAGACATATCGAACAGTCATTAAAGGACCAAGGTACTTTCCACCATTACCTCGGCAATCATTTCTGGGGAACCGTTCCCAAAGCCACCACCACATTCCCTAACCTTAAAATAAGTCCCTCCTATCTACCAACTTAAATAACATTCCTATCTTTAACGTATTGAGAGTCAAAGTCCCAGTCAAGCCAAAAACAAAAAGATATAACAGATACAAAGTTGGAGATACAATACCCAATGATCCATTCTGATATCCAGTTTCATGCTTCCTAGAGAACTTGAGAAACTTTTTTTGTACTTGTAATTATCAATTAATTACAAAGCAAATGACATTTATTTGAGTACAACTTTCCATTTGATTTTTCATATTCCATGTTTTTCCCCATTGATTAAAGAATGGAATGGAAAAGTCATTTCAGACTTTATCTTTTTGAAGCTATACTGAAGAACAAGCATAGACCAACCTTTGCTGCAAGAGAGAGTTGCTATAACACATAATCATAAGTATCATAACTCACTTCAATAGACATGAGTAACACAATTTGACCACAAAAGTCAAGCCAAAAAGCACCAAAAGTAAAGTTTGAAAAAAACTGCTAAAAGTCCACACTGTGTCAAAAGAAACAGATATGACTTCAAATTACTTGTTCAAAGAGGATTTGGAGTGTTAACCCGTGATGACATGAAAGTGGGACATGTGCAAGATAACCAATCAAAGTTGCATATTAACACAAATAATCAGTGAAGTATAGTCGCATAGTAATGGACAGAAGCAATAAATAGAAACTTACTTGTTCCACAAAATGAGCAAGCCGAGTTTGAGCGCTAAGAAAACGTTGGATAAAAGCATTAATTGACTTTGATTGGCCAGTAGTAGTCAATCCAGCCATGAAATGGCTTCTTAAGTATGATACGGCCCAAAGTGACCTCAAGGCAAACAAATTGGCAATATGTTTGTTAGAGGGCAAACCAAAAGAATAAATCATATCTCTCCAACCCAACTCAAACTCATCAATGGACTCTAAGTTATAGAGTCGATAGAACTCTTCTTTCCACTCATTGTATCGTTCCCCAAGGACAGAATTAAACCAAGAGGGGAACTTTGCTACAATGAGCCATATGCACAACGCATGTTTAGTGGTAGGCATCTCCGCTGTCACTGCTTCTTTTAGGCACATATTTTGATCGGTCAATATTGTATGTGGAGCCTTTCCATTCATGAAGCCTAAAAATACCTACGCGGAAAAAAGAATCAATTAAAACACAAACAAATTTGATGTACATGAACACTCAAGTTCAAGTGCATTGCACAGCAAAGGAACATTCTCACAAAATAATATAAACTTAAGCTAATAATTTATATAATATGCCATAAAGTGTTAGTTTCTCCCAACTCATATATGCAATATTATCAAGTCATTACATAGCATCAACTAGAAGTTTATATTAACAAGCATTGTAAAATTACCCACCAACCAGATGAATGGAAAATGTATGACACAACAGGAAAAGGCACAGGAGTGGTATAAGATAGGCAGAGATGTACCTTTAAAGCCCATGATAATGACCTCAAATTTTCCTCACGCAAAAGTACACAGCTAAAGAAACAAGGCATTCCATAATTATTTATTCCAATCCATATTCCAAGAGGCATATCAAAAGCAGTCAATCGATGTGTAGTATCAAAGACAACTGCATCACCAAACATCCCATATGCTTCAACTGATGAAGCATAAGACCACGCAATATTCTCTAGATTGTTGTTCAAATCCAAAGTGTACTCAAATCTAAAATTATGGTCCTTTTCCTTAATGTTACTGCACATTTTCAGGAGGTCTATACTGTCCTCTTCTGGATCCAATTTCCTAAATGACTGAATTAAGTTCCGAACATCCTTCTCTGTAAACGGAAGGAACCCAGGTTCTACACATTTTTCTAGCTCCAACAGCTTCATCATCTGCTGCACAGAAATTCCCGTCTTGGCATACATAAAAATTCGGCTTTTATCATTTTCCGATATATTCCGGTAAGCAGGCAAGAAACGAACCTGATTAGGTTCCAACAAATCGTGATTATGGTGATCAACAAAACCAGTTACACGCCATTCAGAAATACCCAATTCAGTTGTCTTGTTAATCCTCAAGTATGCTTGACACCCACAACGTGAAGATTTCCTATTTCTTTGGGGCTTATTCTCATTAGCTACTTTGACCGGGGTATTGCCAGCACGGTGGCAAACGAAGTACCGTCTAGTTAAACCTTTCCCAACACCATCCTTTCCTTCAGTCCGATGACGACGAATCGAAAACCCACATCTCTTAGCAAATTCACTATAAAATTCATAAGCAGAATCATGTGAAGTAAATCTCTGGCCAATATAAGGAACAACCTCATTTGTAAGTTCTAAAGAAAGGCAAGTTTCATTAGGCGAATCATCAGCGCTACTTATATCATCTAGTGATAACGATCTCTGATCCGACGGATCGTCATAAACCACTACTGGATGAATATCTTCTTGATGAGATAATATATTCTTCTCACAACCCAAATCAAGCAGCGAAACCACCGACATTTTAGCGAATTACACGAGTAAATGCAAAAACCAATATAGTAAATTCAATAGAAATAAGCAATTGAATTCCCAGACTCACTCTTTTTTTTTTGTACAATTCAGCTGTAACGGTAAATTCCCCTGCCGCCGAAGAATCTCACCTTCGTCTCCATCTTCTTTGAATTTGCCAGCAGTATGTTTGTTGATAATGCCGTGCTGCAACCTAGCAATTTTGCCGTTAGGGGTCTCGGGATAAATTTGTTGGGAAATTCCTGATGTATAACTGTGATCCCAAACTGGTTTTTTGCAAAACGAAGACACAAAACACGCAAATTTCATCATTATTTGCAGTGAACATGCACTAAATCAGACAGAATAATTCAACAACACATCAAATTTACAAGCAAAAACAGGCAAGAATTTCTAGTTACAATTAACCAAAATTATACCCACAAACTATTTAGATATACCTGAAATACGACGAAAACGAAGAGTGCCGGAGAGAACCGTGTTGATGATGTACGAAATCAGAAAAGGAGGAAGAATCGCGGAGGAGAAAGAGGAAGGGAGAGTACCAGTAAGAGCCTAAGAGGGACTGAACTAATGAGGTTAATACCAATCAGATGTTGGTGTAGCGGTGATTGGGACTACACTTGGTAGGGAAGATTCACGTTCGATTCCCCACAACAACAATCGGGAGGGGATTGAAACATAACCATCTAGAACTGATTTCCAAATCCGGATTAGCCCTAAGTTAACAAATATATGGATAATCTTGATTTGCTTCTTGTGGGCAAATTGTCTTTTGAAGGCGATGAGCAGTTGGAACAAGTTGTGCTCTCTAAGTCCCCTTTCTGGCTACGAATTAAGAGGCTGCCCTTTAAGTGTCGCTCTAATGAGCATGTTCGTGTTATTGTAGCTGGAATGGGAGAGTTAATTGAGATAGAAGAAGATGTTTGGGTTTAGACCACTTTGGGAGGGCTAGGGTGATGATTGATGTAACTAAACCCCTGAGAATATTTCAAAAAATTCTTGATAATAAAGGAAAAGAAGTTTTGATTGAATTTGCGTATGAACGTTTGCCTTTATTCTGTTTTGCGTGTGGGATCATGGGCCAAGGATTGTTCATATGTTTCCTAGGAGGAGAAGAAAGGTGGGCTAGCCTAGGGAACTTGGCTGCGAGCTTCACCTAGGTAGAGGAGAATGAAGGATGTGGAAAAACTCCAAGACCTCCCAACTTGCAAAAATCTTTGTTTGTCACCAAGGATGACCCGAAAGTTATCCTTAACAGGCTACTATAGCCTCGGGTAGTGAGCTAGTCAGAGAAGATGATCACCTAGAGAATACCACAATGGGGGAGGCTGCTAATTTCTCAAATGTGGTGGGGGATGCTTTGCGTTTTTGCTGTGGGAAGATAGGATAATCAAACTTTTCCTAGGAAATGTCAGGTTACTTTAAAGAGTAGAAGAGTTCAAAAGAATGCAGGTGTGTCTGATGGTAGTGGAATAGTTGTTGTCAAGGCTGATGCTCTACTCCCAGTTCGTGAGAACTAACATGAGCAAGTGGTAAGGAAAATTAACAAAATAGCTGATGGTGGTGAGAAGAGTTTACTTCAAAAAAGGGGCTGGGAGGAGGACTCTAATGGGGCTAATATAATGAAGGGGCAAATATAAATAACCGCTCTAAGATTGCTTATCACGATTCTTCTGACTATATTATGGCAGCGGTTGGCGAGGACTAACCCCGCCAATCATTATGAGTCTCATATTCTGGAATTGTCGAGGGATATGTAATCCTTGTGCAGTTCGGCGGCTTCGCAAGTGGAGCCTTGATTTTACCCGCGATATATATTTCTTTCGAAAACAAAAATTAATAAAGCAGAGGCTGAAAATGTTAAGGATAGGTTCGGTTGTTCGAATGCACTTGGTATTGCGAGTAGAGGGAGAGCAGGTGGGCTGTGTCTTTATTAGAGAGGGGATAAAGTTACTTTTAACTTAATCTCTTATTCTCAAAACCATATCAGTGGGATGTGATTAGTGGTGGCGTGAGTTGGAGGTTCGTGGGCATTTATGGATGGCCTGAAACTGATAATAAACACCACCTAGACTTTGGTGAGGCATCTGTGCGAAGGGTGTGTTATTAGTCCGATCCTTATTGGTGGGGATTTCAATGAAATCCTCTGATACGAAGAGAAGGAAGGGGGAGCTAACACTGTTAGAAGAGAAATGGTGCCTTTTCGAGAGATGATTGATGACTGTCAGCTACGAGATTTGGGCTTTAAGGGTGTGTGGTATACGTGGGAACGCGGGTTAACTCCTGCTACTCGAGTATGTGAAAGGCTAGACCGCTGCCTTGCATCTTCTCCCTGAATCGATTTGTTTCCTACTGCTGAGGTGGAACATTTGGTTCATGTGAAGTCTGACCACTCCGCTCTTGTGCTGAAATTAAAACGCGAGAAAATAAAAAAGAAGAAAAGGAAGGCTTTTAAATTTGAGACCTACTGGCTCCTTGATGATTCTTGTGAGCAGGTCATTCGAGACGCTTGGAGGGGAGAAATGATGGGAGGGGTGATGGATAAGCTTGCGCTAGTTGCTGTCGGATTAAAGTTTTGGAATGCAATGAAATTTGATGAATTGGGTAAAGAGATTGCAAAAATAGAGGTTGCTCTCTCTGAAGCTAAAAGAAGACCAATTTCGGCAGATAGCTACAATGAGTGTATCGAGCTTGAAACGTCTTTTAGAGGGGCTTACTCAAAAGCAGGAGGCATATTGGTATATCCGTTCTCGTGTGGCGGAGGTCAAAAATGGCGATAAGAATACGAAATACTTTCATCATAAGGCCTCCCAAAGGCAAAGTAGAAACCACATCGAAGACCTTTTTTTATGAGAATGATGTTTGGCTGGGGGATGAAGATAAATTACAGCCCATCTTTACTACCTTTTAGAAGAGGTTGTTTGAGACTTCTAACCCATCAGACAAGGTCTTGCAAGGAGTGTTGCAACATGTCAGAGAAGTAATTACTCCAGAGATGAATGATGAATAGAAGAAACCATATACAAAGGAGGAAATTTTCTCAAGTCTACAACTGTAGACACCAAATTTTAATCTCGCTTTTGTAATTATCACTCTTATTATCTTTTATTATTATAGTTATTGTTTTTGCAAATAATTATTATAATTTTGCCAAAATATTTTTTATAACTTAATGACGTTCTTTTTTAAAAGAAGAAAACAAGTAATAATAATGATTTTTATTCATAATTTCCAAAATACATTTTATAATTTGTACTTCTAAATTACTAAATTACAAAATATTGAAGTATAGCTAACACCACATGCATTTTTACCCTACTCCATCGAAGTAATTTTGGGCCTTACTTGTGGATTAGCAAGTAAATTAATGCAGCCATTAGGAGGACCACTAGCCCCACAATGTACATGAAGTACACCCGTATCATCCTCATATCTTCCTCAAAAGTAAAGACAGGCTGATTTTCTTGGTAATCTTGAAACATGGTGGTCGAAATTAATGGTGAATTTTGTTTGGATTTTTTCGGGCAAGGAGGGAGATGGAAGAAGATAAGAATTAAGTGGTGAGTAGAGATTTTGGATAAGAGTAATTTTTTTATATAGTAAAAGTGGGTATTTCATACGTATATGTATAATAATTGTATAGTATAAAAGTACAATATTTTTTGTCTCGTCAGAGGAATATGTCATTTCATTATAAACAAGTATTGTTTAACCCTTTTAAAGTATAATAATTATATTAGTATGTTCACTTAGAGTATTATTTTTTGTCTAGAGATTTTTACGATTTGTACAATACCCCATTATTTAGTCCATTTACCTATAAAAAGTCCACTAGTCCAAAGACTTGTACCCAATCGAGGTAGGGAAATGACATACATTCCTTTTCCTGCAATAAAGTTTGTCACACACAAAAAAGTATTGATGTCTTAGTATTAAAGAAAGCTCCTTTTATATACACTTATGTTACCACAAACTAAAATAAATAGCATTGTCTTTTCGCCTCGTAGTTAATACTTGGTCCGATAAGTACAAGTTCGGATCAAACACATCGAAATTTATTTAAGAATAATTGAGTATCATATGGACGGGGGGAATAGAAAAATACTTGTGGGATGTATAAATACAACGCGTAGAAGAATACGTAAATAAGAATAGTAAAATCAGCGTAAAAAAACAGATCTTGCCTGCAGCTGATTTTCTACATTTCAGTAAAAGATAATCAATGCTCTGACATTTCCTTCATGATTAGTTACGTTTTTTTGTTTTTCATTTTGTCTTCATCCTATTTTTTTAAAAAAATATATATATACTTTTATTTATCTTATTTACTTTACCATTTTTTTTTTACTTTGTTTTTTCATTTTTTGTCTTCATCTTACTTTTTTTTTATTATTATTTTTGTATTCTTTTTATTTATATTATTTACTTTTTTTTTACTTGCTTGTTTCGGTCTATTTTTTGTATACTTTTTAATTTTGATGAACGATTGTCAGTAGTGAAATAATGTTACTTTTTTTTTATCTCTCATGGTTAATATTGTATCCAATAAATTTTAGATTGGATCAATTGTATCAAAAATTATCTGACGGTAATTGGGACATCTGGATTATATACTGCATATTACTATTCAAACACTATTTGACACAATTCAAACACTATTCAAATAAGCATTTTTACGCTTGTTTACGTTGTCGGCGTGAATTTGGCCTTTTGTTTTATTCGTTTTCCTGTTGTTTTGATCTAGTTTTGCATTTTTTTTACGACTATGATAGATATAAATTTGTGTTTTAGTAGAGTAAGGCAAGATGAGAGTCCACCTTTTTTTAAGGTCAATCAGTTGAGGGAATATATTCTACTCTTGTGTACCTTAAATTTATGTCGTATGACTTTACATGGTATATGTTCTCTTTGACCACGTCAATCTTATGACTTTATACGATTTACCTTACTTTATACTTTTAGTAAGGGTCATTGCTTGTAATGTTCGTATGTATAAGATTTTGTCGTATGATTATATGTACTGTCTAATAAGGGCAAGGGTTATTTTCACTACTACAAAATTGGCCAAAGAGACTCGATATAAGAGACCGGTTAAGTGCATAACAGGTCTCTCCTCTAAGAGAGACCGGTTATTGTGTACGACAGGTCTCTCGACAGATCAAAGAGACCAGTCATTTAAGAAAATGGGTCTTTTGAATTTTTTTTAGAAAATCATGGAATATAGAGAGACCATTCATCTTAAATGACAGGTCTCAAGTAATATTCAAGAAACTTGTGATTTAAAATAACCAGTCTCTTGAATTTTATTTTTTGAATTGAGAAATTAGAGAGACCCGTCAGTCTTAATAACAGGTCTCTCGATTTTATATCCCATGTAGGCAGCTTAAAAGTCCATAACCCTAGAATAATCTCTTCATTTTCTCTCTCCTGTCCACTGCCACTTCTCATCTCTTTTTTTCTCTCTCTCTTCTCCCTCCTCTCAACTCATTATCCTCAATTTTTTTTTTTTGGATTCTAAAGAGAATCTCACACAACAAGAGATACGAATTTCATCCTTTATTTCTTTCGATCTCAATTTCAGGAAGTTATTTTCACTCCATCATGTCAAAATTTCAAGATCTATCGTCAAGGTGAGTTTTGAATTATTTTTCGCTATTAATTTTTTATCTTAATTTTTTCGTATTTTTAATGAAAAATATGAATTTCTTATAATAATTACTTTTTAACTTCATTTTTCGGGTTAAAAATTTATTGGTTTTTCGTTTAGTCATGATAAAAGATTGTTTCTTTATTTTGCATGTTAATGAATTCATTTTAAAACTTTTTTCACCATTTTTTTTTATGAAATCTGAGTTTGTTATGTGATTCCAATTTCGTTTGGAGGTGGTTTTTCATTTCCTTTTATTTGGTTCTTTACTTCTTTCTTTTTTTTTTTTTTGCTTTCTTCTTTCATATCAGATCTAGTATTTTTCGTTATTATCGCTCACTTTCATATGGAGTCAGATTTTATATTTTTCTTTATTACTAAGTTCCTATTTGATTTTCTATTATCATTTTCATTTTCAATTTCAATTTTTTTAGATTTAAGTTTTGGTTTATTTTATTTTTATTTTTTAAAAATCTTTTTGAGAATTGCCTGACAAATTGTTCTTTAGCTTGTTTTTGGAATTAGTTTTTTTTCTCGTTTTGATTTTGTGTTCAATCATCATATTAAATGAATTTTATTTTACATCTTGTAGGGAATATTTCAAGCATTACCCCTATCTTAAACCCACTGTGATCATATACTAAAGTATGGTGGCGTCCAAAGGGAAAGAAGATAGAGCAAAAGAGTCGCCAACAACTTTTATGAACTTGTAAACCGTTCACAGGGTGAAGGTTACACCCCTTAACGATCCAGGAGATCGTCAACTACAATAGGTCTGGAACCATGACTGGTAGTTCGGGGATGAAGGTACAAATCCAACCTAAAAGAGATTGAACCTGCCCTAATAATAGGCCTCTACTTTATTCTGATCGTATTCATGTGCGCTTTTCGACTAACATGCAATCAATAGGTTTACCCTAAACCTGTTTATCTATGTTGGTTGAATATTGATGCACAAATAAATCTATTATTGGCGATCACTTGAGTTATAATCAAATTAACCCTAATGAAGATTATTAATTATCTTATTAAGCGTGATTACAAGTACCAATTCCCTTTAAACATGCATAAAAGGTGTGATCAAGCAATAACAATAAATATAATCAAGCAACATAATAATAAAAATAATAATAATTATAACAATTATAATTATTATAATTATAAAAATAATCATGTTAAAGCATAATAATAGCAAGATCTAGGCATGATACTAACAAGATTAATAACAAACCCTAACATGTCACTAAACAATAAAGATCAAATATATAGCCCTAACATGATACTAGCATGTTATTAGGAAAGAAAATAGGAAGCATCACAGGAATCATAATTGATATAAGCAAATCACCCTAAATATCATACTAAAGAAAGCATCCTAACATGATACTAGGAACATCCTAAAGATGATATTAGGAATCAAAATAATAACCTAAGCATGATTTCTATATCATAATATCAATGCAAACAATTAAAGCACTTACTTGGATGCCTCGTACCTCTTTCTTTCACGTCTAGGGCGAACGCAACTTCGAATTATGTTAGGTGTTTCTAGGTCTTATGAATGCGGAATTTTGTATCAAGGGTGGTTTAGAAAAGGGAGAGAAAGAAAGCTTTAGCTTCGAGAGAGAGTAGAGAATTAGAGAATAGGTGATTGTAGATCAGAGGTTATAGATGATTGAAAACGGAGTTTTTAGGAGGCTATTTATAGAGAAAATCAGCTAAAAAGATAGAAAAATAAACCAGAATTTTGACGTGAAAAAACGAAGTTAGCGCCAGACGCTGACATTAGCGCCAGACACTAATGCTGGCGTTAGGCGCTAACCAGTTTTTTTACGCGTTTTCTAAAATCAGATAAAATTTAACCGTACAGGAGTATAAAATCATATTTTCCTCAAAAACACTCTTTTATTCTGATTAAAATTCCAAAAAGTCAACAAAAGTCAATTTATCAATGCTAATTGAATTAGGAATGAAAAGAACCTTCTAGAAGAATCTAGAAGACTAAAACCATTCCTAATGAATGATAAATCCATATTAGGCCCTCCTCTAGGTCATTGGGCCGCATATAAGGCTCAAACCGGGCCTAGTTTAGTAATTTGGCCATAAATTCCTCAATATTGGCTTATAATATATCGTTGGAAAGCTCTTTTCAAACCCTATCCAACTACACTATTATTGGACCCATATCATGGAACAACCAAACTGAATTGGCTGTTTTCTTAAA